GCTGGGACCTAGGCTTAAGTTTCCCCGTGGCTCCAGCGGCGGCATCCCCAGGGGTGTCCCCCTCGCCCTGCGCCAGCCCATTAGGCTGGAGACGAGCGGGCGCCTTCCTGCTGCTGCCCCCGGCCGTGTCCCCGCTGCCCCTGGCCCAGCAGCGCAGCCCTGCGGCCCGGCCGGCTCCCCTGGCACGGGGGGCCACGGCGCCCTCGGGGGCTGGGAGGCTCCAGCCGCGCGGGGAAATTTCCTGCTTCCTCCCTTTCCACCCTAGGTGTTCCCCCTCTGCACGCCTGCACATCTGGGTGGCACATCTGTATGTGCCAGAGAGCTGTCCCCTTAGTGCCCGCCCTCCTAAGGAATGACCTTGGGTGCTTCGCAGGTCACGCCCGAGGAGGTGATTAGTGGCCTCTCCTTGCCTGGCACAGCCATCAGGAGGGCAGCTCCACGAGAGAAACTGGGGGGAAGGAGTCAGGGGTGGGGTGAAGGAGCCGGAGTAGGGGGAAACTTTCTGGGCAAGGTGAATTCTAAGCAGCCACCCTGTTCCATTTCCCAGCAGTATTTACTGGCCCTTTCTGTAGTCTGGAAGTTGTTAATAGCAGGGCTTCTGCCTTCCCCTCCTTAAGAGCCCTGCTTTTAATGTCTGATGAAATAAAAAAAAAAAAAGCAAAAATGAATGACTTGGGGAAATCTATATTTATTTATTTTTTTATGTGGTTGGCCTCTTCTCCTCTAGAGAGCCTCTGAAAGCCCTTCCCTTCTTTCTGGAACCCAGGCGTCATGACGTTTCAGCAGAATGGGCCAAGCCTGGGCTGTCTTCAGAAGTAGAGGTGGGGAAGACTAGGCTTGGACTGCAAAGCACTTTCTGTGCATGCCTGAGTGTGCCTATAGAGGAGTTTGCCAGTGCTGGTGATAACACTGGTAAGCTCTGGAATCTGAATAAAAACAAAGTCAGCAGAGATTGTAAACTCCCCAAACTAGTCAACTTGGACTTGAAATAAATAAAATTATGAGGCGAATATACTTAAAGATTCCACAGGTGAAATAATAAAGCCCTGAAATACAAAAATTGACTCTTTTTGACAGCATGGGCAGGTTGCCACACGTGATTCTATTCTTGTTTCTTCTTAAAGCAAATCTTACTATGTTCCTAGTACATTGCATTAATAGTAAACTACATATTATAAAATATGCACTTTATAAGTACCGTAACCTAATGAACACAGCTGTTGGGGTCTTAAATTTGTACTTCTTGACTGCTTATGGTTTTTTAATCACAAAATTATAGGGCTGAAAGGGATCTCAGAGGCACCTCTGTGCAATTTCTGTAACATCTCAGACAAATACTTATCGAGCCTTTTCTTGCAAAACTCCAATGAAGGAGATTCCACAGCTTCCCTGGGCAGCTTGTTCTACTCTCCTGCTGTTCTCAGACAGGAAGATCTTTCTGATAGTTAATCTAAATCTATTTTGCAGCACTTTAAACCTATTACTTCAGTCTTGCACTCTGCATCAGAGGAACAGAGTTTTCCTTCATCTTTATGGCAGTCTTTCAAAAATTTTAAATGTTGAAATTTAGGCCCCAGCTCTAAATTCTCTAATGTATCTTCTGAAGTTCACATGAGTTCCACACACGAATTACTTGCCAGATTAAATTCTTCACATTTTATTAGCAGGAAAGGTTCTTTGAGTAGATGTGATATCTTTTATTAGACCAACTGAGTAATTGGAAAAAAGTTCTTAGCAAGCTTTTGGGTGCAATCATCTTTTTCAGGCATAGGAAGTCTCTACTGTTCTGAGACTCCAAGGAATGATTCATTGACACAGCTGTATTTGTTTTTTCCTGGTATACACAGTAGGTTTAATTCCATAAGAGCTTGACAAAAATTTACTAATCCTCATAATGCCACCAGTCATGAAGTATTATTATTTTAAAATGAGAAAACTGGCAGAAAAGTAGAGTGATTTGACTATGCCTACCTCAAAACCAATGTCAGGGCCAAGATTATGATTCAGATTAGTTGTCTCCCATCTCTGTGCTCAAAGCATGGTAGGCCACACCTTTCTCAAGTGCGAAAAGCAAAATTATGTTCGAAGAAGTACTGATATTTTTAAGATTTTTGTTTTCTTCTTCTGATTATAATTATGTGTAGCAAATGGGAAATTTCCCAACAGATGCAAAATGTGGTTATGTCTGCAATTTTTCTTTTTCGTTATTTTTTTCATTTTTTTTTTTTAAAGCAAAACTGATAGATTGTAAATATAACTGTACGTTATTTCTTTCAGATTTGCAACCAACATAATGCTGGAGCTCCAAACTGGGAACAAGCATTTCACAGCATGGCACAGTTGGAACTTCATCTCGACCATGATATATCGTGGTTCCTTCTACCCTCTTACTGGGCTAAAATTGTTGTGGGGCTTATTTCCTTCCTGTGTTTTGCTAACAGCTATGATGGAGATTTTGTCTTTGATGATTCTGAGGCTATCATCAATAATAAGGTTTGTCTTTTTCCAAGTTTTAAATTTTAGGAGAAAAAGAAGTTAATTTAAATTGATACTGGGTGTGTCTACACGAGACACTAAATGTGCACTAGACTAATTCTACTACGCATTAGCGCGTCATGGCAAAAGTGTTACTAAAAAGCATTACTAAAGGTATGCACTGGCACTACTGCGTAGTAGCTCTGGTTACAGAGCATTGAGTTAATACCTGTTATTGCAGGTGCTAAACTTAATGTGCCGTAACTATGGCGTATTAATGAATGTGTAGACATTCCCACTGACAATCTGACTAAGCCCAAGTTTGATCTACCTATTTTTTTTTCTTATTTTGTAAGATGTCTTTCCCTATTATCCTCACTTTCTTAAAATTATCACCTTTCTGAAAATGGCTCTAAAAAGTAAGCAGCTATTTATGTAAAAGCTGAATAAAAAGCTTTTTTTTTTTTTTATAATTGCTCTACTATGGAGCAAGCAGAAGGAGCAGAAATAATCTAACAAATCCTTACTCTCAAAGCTGTTTTGACAACTTTAGTTCAATGCTGGTGCACAAACAGGGAAGCAGCAATGAGAAGATTAATTAGCTCAGTTACCCAGAATGCAGCTGTTTTAATTCTCTTTCTCCAAGCCCCTTGCTTGAGAACCACTACTGCTGGCTGTCAAGATAGAGTAGCAGCCCCTTTTGGCTCACAGTGGCTGCCTACAGATGTGAAAAAAGAAATGGTGCTTTACTTTCATCTTGGAACACCCTGACGCTCAGTGCAGTGCCTGCCAAGAAGAGGCATCATGTCAGTTTGACCTGGCTTGCCCAACGTCTGTATAGATTGTGCACTTCAGGAGGGCTTTTTCATGTATTTAATAGATGATTGAGTCAGCTATTAGATAAAAGTGCCAAAAAGCCCCACTGAAGCGTGCAATCTATACAGATGCTGGATGAGCCAGGTCACACTGGCGTGCTTCCTCATCTAGTAAATCGCTCCTTTTTGTTTGTTTTTTTGGGGGAGTGTTCACGTCTGTCAGCAGCCTAAATGAACTTTATCTTTTCTGTGGCTGAACTTTAATGAGTTTGCCCAGGGGTAGGGTATAGTCTTGAAAATTATATACATGGATACATGTCCATATGGACCCAATTGTTTTCCCAGTTTTAAGTCATTTTTTGCCAATTAATTTAGTGAATGCAAGTTAGGCCCTTAGAACAAACTACAGTGCCCATTTAAGCCAATAGGAAACTTTCCATTGCCTTGAACAGGTGATAAACGGAAGCCAAGTGAAAACTCTTTTGACAAAACTCTTGGTGTAGACACTAAACTATGCTGATGGGAGAGGGTTTTTGTTAGATTACCTTGTGTTGTTTCAGGAGATGGGGTAGCTCATCTAGCTGGAAACCTCCTTCTGTTTGAATACACTGTATCCCCATTAGGGGGTTGTGCTGACATAGCTATTAGGGCTGTGTGAAGCTTCGGTCTCTGATTTGATTCAGTGGAGATTTAGCCCGATTTGGCAGCCAAATCTCCAAATCCGAATCAAATCGGAAGACCCTTTAATCTCTCCGAATCAAATCGGAACCCTTCAAATTAATTCAGCGAGATTTGATAATTCAGACACAGACACAGCTTTAAATGTTTTTTCTATGTACCTCAAGGTACCAGACAGCTTGTGAATGCTGAGATAGTGGGGCGGATGGAGCGTCCCACAGGAGCGCAGTGGGGTCCCCAGCACACTCAGTGGCAGACCTAGAAGTGGTCAGAAGCACTCCCGGTCCACTTCCAGATTCATGGTGGAGCATGCGGGGGACACACTCCACCCTTTCCATGCGGCTCGGGTACTGGTGCCTCCTCGGTCTAGGAGGGAGTACCTGGGATCCCCCTGCAGCCAGTCACCAGGCCACGGGGGGCGGGATCCCCTGCGTGCTCAGTGGCGGACCCGGAAGTGGACCAGAATTACTTCCGGTCCACTTCTGGGTTCGCCGTGGAGCGCGTGGGGGGCCCCCCTGCACTCCTGTGGGACACACCATCCACCCCACCATTGCAGCATTCACGAGCCACGCCTGGTATCTCGAGATGTGTAGAAAAAACATTTAAAGCTGTGTCTGTGACCGAATTGCTGATTCTCTGAATCAGCATTGAATCTTCAGATTCGGATTTGGACTAATCGAATCGGGACAGTGATCTGAATCAACTAATCGAATCACTGTCCCTGAATCGAGCCGAATCCAAATCAAATACAGCCCATTTCACACACTCCTAATAGCTATGCTGGCACAGCTGTGGCAGCAGTTGCCCTATAGCATACAGTTCCCTAGTTACTCTGGTGCAGAAATATTTGCAGTATTTGCTGATGATGAGTTTCACTCAACAACAGAATGGTGAGAATGTTTTCAATTTTTTTCATAGTAAACACCACAGCTTAATAGTGAGAGTGACTCATGGATCATCTTCCCTTCCTTTCCACTAATTGCACAACGTTCCTTTTATAACAACTGTTTAAATAGAGAAGAAGCATTAAGAAAGTATTGTCTTTTTCAAAACTGTCTACACAATGAACAACTTTTGAAAAACCATTCACTCAGTCATTGTTTATAGCCCTTAGTTTTTCAGCTACTTGAAGAATAAAGCTCTTGCAATGTTTCCAGGGCCTGATCCTGCAATGTATTGATTGTCCTATGTTCCTGAGGCACCTCATTAATAAGCATATAACTAATTGGACACTTAGTCAAGGGCTTGGTCTTATTCAACAGTTTCTACTCTGGCCTATAATATCTGGTGTTTTGGGGTTGGGAGGAGAGGGGTACATATAATGGATACAGGAGGAGTCCATCTCTATCAGTCCTTTTTTGATGAATAAAGGAAAAAGCACCAAAGAGGCTCAAATACCCCTAGGGAAAAATACAGCCCACAGAATTTCTACACAAAACAAGATTGGGGGGTAGCCTATCACAACATACCTTTTCGAATCTCACTGAATTATCATTATTTGAAACCAATTTGTAGTATGTTTGAGTAAACTACCTCACCGTGTATAAGATATAATGGGAAGAAAATAAGTCTCCTGAATAAGAATACATTTTCAAGCTTCTAAGACAGTTCAACAAATGGTTTTAAGTACCTATAGTGATTTCAGAAAGCATTGTGTTTGTTAAAATGGCACATCTCTTAGAAAAGACTTATTCTGCACAATTTTATTTGGGGCACAATGATGCATTTTTGTTTTCTTAAGAAAAGCTTGACAAGTATACCAGGGCAATGGTAGATTTAGTTGTTTGTTTTACTGCAATTTCCACACTTGCAATCTTTCTCCACTTCTCTCAAATTTGTCTAGCAGAAGTTGTTATTTCGGTTCATCAACATGCACAAAAAATAGCTGAAATAGCTCTAGGCAAGGATATGAAATTAAATCAATTGTTAAATAACTTCATTCGAGTATGGTCTGCATTTGAAAATACGGAAGATTTATTTTCACATTTAAATCTTCTGTTTTTTCTAGAATTTTGGTGAGTAAAACTAATTAGAGATCAGAATAGAATATAGAAACATTAAATCAGTATCAACGTGTGAAGACAACAGGGGGGAGAGCTGCATAGTAAACACTGGGTTTCCTAAACAGGGTACAGAATGTTTTATTCTCATTCAGTATGAGATACAGCAGGTGAAGCTGTTTTGTAGACCTGCTTGCTGGTAATTTCTTGAGTACCACACTATGGCCCTTTTGTTAACTTGCTAGCCCTCCTTGCTTTCTTTCCCATTTTAATGAAAGATAAGCTGTTAGTTGGCCTCATGCCTATCATATTGTGAAGTGCTCTGTTGTATTTTTATTGGTCTTCAAGGATATTTTGCAGACGCTTTATTGTCATTTTAAGCAGCATTTTAACTGGTGCACAACAATGATTTCTCTTTATTTACTTATTTTGGCAAGACAAGCCATTGGGTTAGCAGGATTTTCAGCTGCAATGTATCTTTTCCATAAGCCATTATATAGGTAAACTGCCCTTTCTTCAAATATTGTGCCAGGCTCTGTGTAGGCTGATGCTAATCAAATATTTAGAGATTCCTTGGTATCCACTTTCTCTTCTGTTGGTGAAACCTGTACATAACTTTTTCAAATAGATGTAAACTTCATTCAGTTAAGGAAAAGCAATCTTCCCCTTTTAGAGCAAGCCCATGGAAGTGTATAGTCTGTTATATGTAGCTTTCTGAAAACCTTAAACCTTCAAGTAATTGAGTTTAGCACTTCTTAGCTCTGTAGAATTCAGGTCATAAGTAAGTGCGGTCTAATTGCAAGGTGTCAGCTTTCTTCTTCTTGAAGACATAAATTAAACTCTGGATTAAATTGTGCAAACTGTAGTTCTAGCACTTGGAAACTGTGCTAGGGTATGTTGCTGTTTGCAATATGAATTCAGCAGTTGTGGGTACCATTTCCCAGGGAAGGTAGAACCTTGTGTAATACAACAAAAATATATTTTTGGTATCGCTTTTTATTGATACTGTTGAATATAAAGGATCCAGCAGTTATAATGCATTGTTTCATATTTTAGGTTATCTAATCCTTTTTATGTTCTATATACCTCACCAGCATACATAGCAAATGAGTACAACTGAATACAGAGTTGCACTCTAGGAGCAGGATCCAAAAAAAACATAAAAACCTAAAGAGGGTTGTAAGCATAATTTAGGTGCCTATATTCAAGTCTTTGATTTTAAAAACCCTTTTACAGCTCTTGCCTAACCCTAAGTGCACCTCAACTCCCATCAGGGTAGTGATGCACCTCCACTTATATCTAGAACTGCCTCAGGTGCTGAGCTTCTTCATGACCAGGGATCCTGGTTTTGTCCGATTTTAAAAAAAATCCCCAATTTTTGGATTTAAAAAAAAAATCACAGAAAAATATGGATTTGGGATTACTTTTTTTTAATCCAAAAATTGGGGATTTTTAAAAATTGGACAAAACCAGGATCCCTGGTCATTGAGAGATAATTTAAGTTCAGCTCCCTCCTTTGTTTAAGGGGCTTCAGATCCGTATGTCCTACTCGGAAGAGTGCCCAAAATACCAACCTGGAGATCTTAGCCAGTCTCTCTTTCTTTTGTTGAAGTTATCCCACTGTGCAGAAAATAATTATAAAATTAATTGGGCCTTGGGATTCTTAAGAATGTGCATTTGTGAGAAGGAAGGCCTGGGTTTCAGTTCCTGCTCTCAGGACTCCTTCTGAATTGTACAGTTCAACAGAAAGTGCAGAAAAAATGTTTAGAGAAGGGATCCAGGGATTCTAGCTGACTGGTTAGGGCAGTCACCAGAGGGGTAGACCTGGATCCCTTCTCTAAACATTTTTTCTGCACTTTCTGTTGAACTGTACAATTCAGAAGGAGTCCTGAGAGCAGGAACTGAAACCCAGGCCTTCCTTCTCACAAATGCACATTCTTAAGAATCCCAAGGCCCAATTAATTTTATAATTATTTTCTGCACAGTGGGATAACTTCAACAAAAGAAAGAGAGACTGGCTAAGATCTCCAGGTTGGTATTTTGGGCACTCTTCTGAGTCGGACATACGGATCTGAAGCCCCTTTAACAAAGGAGGGAGCTGAACTTAAATTATCCCACAATAGTCTCTTGAACAAATGGAGCGTAGATGTATGTGGCGGGAACGACCTCCTCTTCTGACAATGTTTTGGAAGACAGCAAATCAAGCCTGCTCGGTATCTCTAAAAAAGACAGTTTTATCTTGTTTTCACAATATTCTGTGTGTTGGATCTCAAATGGACCAAGGCACTCTTTTACAGTCCTGAATCAGGTGCTTTCTTCAGCAGCTCTAAGCAACTTCATGCTTTAGCATGCTGACTTTTAGCAGATTCCTGTTCAATGAGGTGCCTTTCGAGTCCCACTTGGAGGCACATTGCTCTCTCCACAAATTGTATAGGCACCCCATGCACCAAATATAGGATTCTGGCTTCTTCTCCAAGGGCCAAGTACCTAAGAAGGCAGGTGTTGCAAAGCTTTATTTTTATCTTTCCATGTTATGGCTCTTGCCCAATCTTGGAGGCTCCTCTATGAGTGCTGAGCATTGAAGTCTGATCTCTCCAATCTCTGTCACAAGACCCTCTCTTTATTTCATATGCAGGTTTGTGGCAGTGTTTCATCTTGTGCACCTCTAGTGAACTCAGCCAAATTTGATCCTATCTATTGATTGATAACCCATAAAAAGGAATATTAGGTTTCAGGTGATGGTGGTGGTATGAGGTGTAGGTCGGGGTGTGATGATTTGAGGTGTGTGCCTGTGTGTGTGATATTTTGTGTCTGGTTACCTGGTAATTATTTTTTTCTCCACCTTGTCAGTTGAATAGAAATAAACTATGAATGATTGCACACACAGTACAGGTTCCCCTATGAAAGTGATTTTTTGCGTGTATTAGAGGTCTTGGTATCAGGTATGGTCTTGTCTTTGAATCATACTAAAGATCTTCATTTATACTGCATGGGGTAGTGCTAGCATAAAAGAGAGCAGAATTTCAAACTTTGCCGAGAAAGGGAGAGCAGGGTGCAGGCAGAGTGAGTTTGTCAGTGCACCAGCCTCAGTTATTTATGAACACAATGCATGATGTATTGCATGGGGATGGAGCTTTGGTATGTCTTGTTCTCATTTGTGTTCTTCAGACTTTTCATCTGCTTTCCTAAGAGAACATCTCCAGATCAAGTAATCTCTATCACTTCTTTATCAGCTTGTCTTCAAGATAAAAGTTAACTGAAAATTCTACTTTGTAGGGGGAGGGGGTTAAGTATAATTTTTCCCCTCTGTGTTGGCTTATAATGAATTTCTTTCCTAACAATTGTCACTAACCTTCTTTTTATAACAGTATATAGGTTAATTCAAGAAGCAAATTCCTCTGTAAAAAATAGAGTACCATTTGAATGATGTTATGTGAAAAGTAAGCAAGCTATGCAGCAGGGTTTAAAAAGAGCTAATCGCTGGTTGCCATCTTTAGATATTGCTTTATATCCTTCTTTCATTAATGGGTGTGATGCTCAAACTAATGGAAAAATAGCTATTTGAAACCGCATGCACTTGTCCCATTTCCCAAGATACCTGTTTCTAAAATTAAAGGTATTTTAACTAGTATTTTTGTAACATGCTTTATACACTTATCATTAGAGCAGCTAGGCCAGGTTATCCACTAGTGTAAATCAGCCCAGCTCCATTGACATTCATGAAGTGATGCTAAGTTGCACAATCCAAGGGTCAGCTCAATGA